TTTACAAAGCGATTAACACAAATGAGGAGAGAAAACCTTTTTGGTTCTTGGGTTTATTGAGCAACCTATGGATCACCTTGATCCTTAGCTTGAGGGGACCAAATAAAGGTCACCGTGCTATTAGATATGCACGCATAGTCTGTACGCGGTAACGTACAGAATCGGTGATGGCCCACACACATCATCACAACTTTCTAGATTTCCTTTTACGAACGACTATCAACTTTCCTTTACTTTTATCATCCTCCTAGTAAGTCTATCGCTACACAACATATTTTACATTGTCGCAAGAGCGCGGGCAAAAGAAGCCGAGCTATCAATATTCGTTATTTCTTTATCACAGATCAAGTTGAGAAAGGAAATGTTAAGATCGAATACTGTCCAACTGACAATATGATTGCGGATTTTATCAAGTGATGTCGAAGAAACAAAAACTAAACAGCAGAAGCAGTACGGAAGCGGAACTGATTGCTGTTGACGATGTTGTCACGATGATACTATGGACGAAGTTGTTCATGGAGTGACAAGGGTATCCGATCGAGAAGAATATCTTGTATCAGGATAACAAAAGCGCGATTCTACTGGAAGAGAATGGTCGCAAGAGCGCGGGCAAAAGAAGCCGAGCTATCAATATTCGTTATTTCTTTATCACAGATCAAGTTGAGAAAGGAAATGTCAAGATCGAATACTGTCCAACTGACAATATGATTGCGGATTTTATGACTAAGTCATTGCAAGGTGAGAAGTTTCGCAAGTTCAGGGATCTGATTCTTGGTCCACAGGACTAGGTCAGACAAGTATGTATATGTTCAAATGAAAATACCTTTTCCAAGGAAAGAATTGGATGCAATTCTCTCAAGTCATCTGTCAATGGGCAGATTGGCGCTCCCACTCTGTTGGTGGGGATTTGGAAGGGTAGACCAAGAAAATCGGTCTGCTGTATCTTTTCCAGAGAAAGAAACAAGACAAATTTGCCGTACAACATGGAGAGTTTGTGTTCACAGGGGTTGTCCTTCACAAGGTCAACCGTCAATAGGGTGGTAGAATTCGAGCGGGTTGTTGCCTCCAGACCTTCCTGAGCGTGCTCAGGTGCAGTCCTCGTCGATTTCAAAGCCATCTCTTGTGAGTTGTTGTCATTCGAGCCCATGGTTGGTGGCCACTTCTGATGGGCAGCGTAGAAATCATAAAATAGGATTGTTGTTGTGTGTAAATAGCTGAGAAGTTCTTCGTTCTGGTTCCAACCTTGTTTTGTTGGAAACGCCGTTGTCAAGGCATGCCAAACGATTTCAACAAATTCCATGGGTTCATTGCTTGGATTGAGGTTCTCGGGAGAATCGTGTGCCTTGGCACCTTTCAGGTTCGCTGGCGTGGATGCGAGTCGCTTCTTAAACTTGGACTGAGCTTTGGCTATTGTTGGCTCTCCTTTTAGTCGCTCAAATTCCTCCACAATGTGAGGATTGATAGCAGGGACTGTCCAAGGATTAGCGAAGAATTCGGATGCCGTTCGCCACATCCAAGTCAACGGCTTGGCGCGTTGAACAATTAATGTCGGGTCGAAAATGAGCGAAAATTCCCAAAAGCGAGGCGACTCAAAAAGCACAATTCAATTGCTTATCATTCTGCACGTTGGAATGTGGCAGCTCGGGTGATTGCAGTTTCATGGATTGATGGTGCAATCAATATTGCAGATGCATTTACAAAGCGATTAACACAAATGAGGAGAGAAAACCTTTTTGGTTCTTGGGTTTATTGAGCAACCTATGGATCACCTTGATCCTTAGCTTGAGGGGACCAAATAAAGGTCACCGTGCTATTAGATATGCACGCATAGTCTGTACGCGGTAACGTACAGAATCGGTGATGGCCCACACACATCATCACAACTTTCTAGATTTCCTTTTACGAACGACTATCAACTTTCCTTTACTTTTATCATCCTCCTAGTAAGTCTATCGCTACACAACATATTTTACATTGTCGCAAGAGCGCGGGCAAAAGAAGCCGAGCTATCAATATTCGTTATTTCTTTATCACAGATCAAGTTGAGAAAGGAAATGTTAAGATCGAATACTGTCCAACTGACAATATGATTGCGGATTTTATCAAGTGATGTCGAAGAAACAAAAACTAAACAGCAGAAGCAGTACGGAAGCGGAACTGATTGCTGTTGACGATGTTGTCACGATGATACTATGGACGAAGTTGTTCATGGAGTGACAAGGGTATCCGATCGAGAAGAATATCTTGTATCAGGATAACAAAAGCGCGATTCTACTGGAAGAGAATGGTCGCAAGAGCGCGGGCAAAAGAAGCCGAGCTATCAATATTCGTTATTTCTTTATCACAGATCAAGTTGAGAAAGGAAATGTCAAGATCGAATACTGTCCAACTGACAATATGATTGCGGATTTTATGACTAAGTCATTGCAAGGTGAGAAGTTTCGCAAGTTCAGGGATCTGATTCTTGGTCCACAGGACTAGGTCAGACAAGTATGTATATGTTCAAATGAAAATACCTTTTCCAAGGAAAGAATTGGATGCAATTCTCTCAAGTCATCTGTCAATGGGCAGATTGGCGCTCCCACTCTGTTGGTGGGGATTTGGAAGGGTAGACCAAGAAAATCGGTCTGCTGTATCTTTTCCAGAGAAAGAAACAAGACAAATTTGCCGTACAACATGGAGAGTTTGTGTTCACAGGGGTTGTCCTTCACAAGGTCAACCGTCAATAGGGTGGTAGAATTCGAGCGGGTTGTTGCCTCCAGACCTTCCTGAGCGTGCTCAGGTGCAGTCCTCGTCGATTTCAAAGCCATCTCTTGTGAGTTGTTGTCATTCGAGCCCATGGTTGGTGGCCACTTCTGATGGGCAGCGTAGAAATCATAAAATAGGATTGTTGTTGTGTGTAAATAGCTGAGAAGTTCTTCGTTCTGGTTCCAACCTTGTTTTGTTGGAAACGCCGTTGTCAAGGCATGCCAAACGATTTCAACAAATTCCATGGGTTCATTGCTTGGATTGAGGTTCTCGGGAGAATCGTGTGCCTTGGCACCTTTCAGGTTCGCTGGCGTGGATGCGAGTCGCTTCTTAAACTTGGACTGAGCTTTGGCTATTGTTGGCTCTCCTTTTAGTCGCTCAAATTCCTCCACAATGTGAGGATTGATAGCAGGGACTGTCCAAGGATTAGCGAAGAATTCGGATGCCGTTCGCCACATCCAAGTCAACGGCTTGGCGCGTTGAACAATTAATGTCGGGTCGAAAATGAGCGAAAATTCCCAAAAGCGAGGCGACTCAAAAAGCACAATTCAATTGCTTATCATTCTGCACGTTGGAATGTGGCAGCTCGGGTGATTGCAGTTTCATGGATTGATGGTGCAATCAATATTGCAGATGCATTTACAAAGCGATTAACACAAATGAGGAGAGAAAACCTTTTTGGTTCTTGGGTTTATTGAGCAACCTATGGATCACCTTGATCCTTAGCTTGAGGGGACCAAATAAAGGTCACCGTGCTATTAGATATGCACGCATAGTCTGTACGCGGTAACGTACAGAATCGGTGATGGCCCACACACATCATCACAACTTTCTAGATTTCCTTTTACGAACGACTATCAACTTTCCTTTACTTTTATCATCCTCCTAGTAAGTCTATCGCTACACAACATATTTTACATTGTCGCAAGAGCGCGGGCAAAAGAAGCCGAGCTATCAATATTCGTTATTTCTTTATCACAGATCAAGTTGAGAAAGGAAATGTTAAGATCGAATACTGTCCAACTGACAATATGATTGCGGATTTTATCAAGTGATGTCGAAGAAACAAAAACTAAACAGCAGAAGCAGTACGGAAGCGGAACTGATTGCTGTTGACGATGTTGTCACGATGATACTATGGACGAAGTTGTTCATGGAGTGACAAGGGTATCCGATCGAGAAGAATATCTTGTATCAGGATAACAAAAGCGCGATTCTACTGGAAGAGAATGGTCGCAAGAGCGCGGGCAAAAGAAGCCGAGCTATCAATATTCGTTATTTCTTTATCACAGATCAAGTTGAGAAAGGAAATGTCAAGATCGAATACTGTCCAACTGACAATATGATTGCGGATTTTATGACTAAGTCATTGCAAGGTGAGAAGTTTCGCAAGTTCAGGGATCTGATTCTTGGTCCACAGGACTAGGTCAGACAAGTATGTATATGTTCAAATGAAAATACCTTTTCCAAGGAAAGAATTGGATGCAATTCTCTCAAGTCATCTGTCAATGGGCAGATTGGCGCTCCCACTCTGTTGGTGGGGATTTGGAAGGGTAGACCAAGAAAATCGGTCTGCTGTATCTTTTCCAGAGAAAGAAACAAGACAAATTTGCCGTACAACATGGAGAGTTTGTGTTCACAGGGGTTGTCCTTCACAAGGTCAACCGTCAATAGGGTGGTAGAATTCGAGCGGGTTGTTGCCTCCAGACCTTCCTGAGCGTGCTCAGGTGCAGTCCTCGTCGATTTCAAAGCCATCTCTTGTGAGTTGTTGTCATTCGAGCCCATGGTTGGTGGCCACTTCTGATGGGCAGCGTAGAAATCATAAAATAGGATTGTTGTTGTGTGTAAATAGCTGAGAAGTTCTTCGTTCTGGTTCCAACCTTGTTTTGTTGGAAACGCCGTTGTCAAGGCATGCCAAACGATTTCAACAAATTCCATGGGTTCA